TCTCTAAGTTCTGATTTCCTTCTTCATCTTAGGACCCCAGGCATTGGATTTATATTTGAATTGCTTTTATCTACAGAAACTTTAATTGCAAATGTCATATGACTAGTACAGATCTTCTGAAGAGATGCAGTCCAGCACACCGCACAGTGAAGGGGCTATGCAGATGGTCCTAAGCTGGATGTGTGGTCAGGAGCCTCAGTGCTTATCCTTGGAATGCCCAGTGCCTCCATCTCTCTGGATGACAAGTGCACCTGCACACTGGGCCTGTGACACCTGCATTGTTGGGCAGCAGGTGAAGCTTGCAGCACATCTCTTTAGTGTCCCTGTTAGATGCCTCGGAGCTCAGAAATCAACTCTTTGGTGAAGGCTTCCTTCTCTCAAGCAGATGTACTTGATCGTTTCTCTGCGCTGCCAAGGTATTTATTCAACTTCAGTAGGGGCAAGGAACATACTCTTTTGTTTGTGTTCTCAAGTTGTCCAGGACTGCAACTGGATTGTGCTTGTCTTCTTGTTCTCTACCTCATATGCTTGCACATAATAGACCTTCAGCATTTGATGAGTGAGGGAGAGCTGACGATGAATGGATGGCTAGATAAGGGATGGGTGGATGGTGAATGTATGGGTGGTAGATGAATGATGGTGGATGGATGGATAATGCTGGATAGATGGATATGGGTGATGGTGGATGGATGGATGGAGGGAGGGATGGATGGAGGGAGGGAAGGATGGATGGATGGACAGATGATAGTGGGTATGTCCCATTATGACCCTGACAGAGAAGTCTTTTATGACCATCCCTGCCCCTGCTGCCTCTCCCATCCCTTGGCTTCACCTTGTTTTTCTGCACAGCAGAACGTTTTTGTTTGTTGTATTAGACATTTATTTGCTTCTTATCTGTATCTTTCACTACAGTGTTCACTCTTTTAGAAGCCTTTTGCTTATTTTTGCACTCCTATATCCCAGTGCCTACCACAACAACATTTATAGGGTGCGTCGTTGGGTAGGAGGGTGCTAGGATGGGTGGACAGATGCATGGGGGGTGGAAGCTTAGTACTTTCATCTCAGTGGCAGCTGCTTTCTGGGCCACTAGCGCACCTGCTCTCTGCTCCCTATGTTTGCTTTGCCCTTCCTCCCCCGTTTCTCTTCCCCCAGGCCTGAGATTTATGTTTATATAGCTATCATCTCAGGCCAAGGATCTTGTCTGTCCAGCCTGGGATTATTGACTGTCTGGGGTTAATGTTCTGGGGCCTGAGCTCCCCTGGGCCTGCCCTTAATCCCTCGGAAATACCCACTATACTAGGCTGGGAGATTGAGTCCCAGCCTGCCCTAGAGTGGGCTGATTTTACGTAACATGTTTTTGCAACCTGAGTAGTAATGCAGTGTGCCTCGGTGCTATGTCTTGCTCCAGTGCTGGCCTCTGGGTTGGGGGCATGTGTGCGTCTGTGCGTGCCATGTGTGTCCATGTGCATGTGATGCACATGGGCACTGCCAGGGCTGCATGTGGAACATGTATCTCCCCTCCCTCCATGGAGATTCTTAGTTTATATAATCTGTTCGTTTCCCAGACCCACTCAGTAGAATGTGCTCAGTGGTTAGTTAGTTGGAGGGGGGCACTGCAGCCAGGTCTGAGAGCCAGAGAGAATGGCTGTCTCCTGGAGAAGCCAAGAAAGAACCCACGATACCTGGCAGTAGTCCTCAAAGTGCTGCCAAGGGTGAGGTACAGACTGACTACCATGAACCAGCTGGTAGACCCCCATGGCCACTTCTCTTATCCATGGAGCAGAAGGAAATTCATGCCTGGGCTGGCATCCGCAAGGGGTCGTTTCAAAATACCAGATGCAAAGATTTGTGGCTTAAAGAACTGGAGCAGAGGGCCCCTGGCATGGTAGCCTAATTGCTAAAGTCCTTGCCTTGTATGAACCAGGATTCCATATGGGTGCTGTTTTGCATCCCAGCTTCTCCACTTTCATTCTAGCTCCCTGCTTGTGGCCTGGGAAAGCAGTAGAGGATGGCCCAAAGCCTTGGGACCTTGCACCCGCATGGGAGACCCAGTAGAAGCTCCTGGTTCCTGGCTTTGGATCAGCTCAGTTCTGGCTGTTGCAGCTACTTGGGGAGTGAACCACCAGATGGAAAATCTTTTTCTCTGTTTCTCTTTCTTTCTGTAAATATGACTTCCCAATAAAAAATAAATAAACCTTTTAAAAATGAAAAAAAAAAAAAGCTGGAGCAGAGGCTACTGGACAATCTGTAAGGACAGTTCCAAAGAAATCTGGTCAAGTTGCCATTCTCCACTTGAGGAGTGTAGCCTACCAGAAAACAAGGAAAGTTCTGGGCTAAAGCTCAAGGGGAGGTTCCCCAGGTCAGGCTAACATGATTGCTGATTCTTGCTCTCACTTCTTAGCACATGCCAACCCCCCTGCCAACACATGTAAGCCCCAGATACGTTTTACCCATGTTGCTGAGATTAGATTCATAGGCCATCATGTGCTGTGGTTTGTTTAGGATATTCACATAGTTTTGTAGCTACCACCACTGCTTAATTCCAGACCATGTTTATCACCCCACAAAGATATGGCAGAAGCTGAATCCAGGACTCAGTGGTACAGACCAAGAAGGCTGGCAACTCCTGGGCCCTGGTGGTGCCAGAGTCATGGCCAGCTACGTTTGTTCAGCCTCAGAGCAAGGGCCTGGCCGCCAGCTCCGGAGGGAGCCTCAGCTTCCTGCCCATTGTTTACTGGGGGCACACCCAACGCATTCCAGAAGTGACCTGGAGGGGCCTGGAGGGAGGGAGGGAGGAAAGAAGGGAGAGAAGGATCTTGTTCAGGGTGGGAGAGGGGAAGCCAGAGGTGAAGACTGGGTGTTTTCCTTGTTTGTATTTTGTATTAAAAAAAAAAAAATGGTATCCTTTGAGAAAATCATTAAACAAAGCACATCCTAACGCCCTGGAGGCCCATTGTGGCTGGTGGAGCCGGAATCCATTCATGCTTTTCTGGCCAGACTGTTGGAGGTAGGAGGGAGTGATGTGACTGAGATGTTATTGTGAAGTGCTCAGCTTCCTCCCAGAACTCCAAGGCAGTAACCCTGATGGACAGAGCTCCAGGGTCCCTCTGTCCTCCCAGGCTTGCTGTCCTCCTCACACTCCTCTGAGAGGCTCCCCAGTATTGGCCAGGGCTACCAGAGTCCCCGACTCTTCCTCTTGGCCAGGGTGGGGACCCCACTCCAGAGGCTGCAGGAAGTTTCCCCACACTCTGCTCCAATCCCCACATCCCTTCATGGGAGCTCAGGGCTGCACCTGTCCTTCACTGACATCCTGGGCCTCCATCTCCCTGCCTACAAAGTAGCAGTTCGAGCCAAATGGACTCTGACTGCTCAGTCTCCAGCAGACTGCTCCTGCCTCCTCTCTTATCCTGTGTGTGTCCAAGACTCGTGGGTGCCATGGAATTGAGTCATGGTACATACCCCAGTATCCTAGACCCGAGCCAGATCACTCCTCCCTAAAAACTCCTGGATTTAGGTTACCCGCCTTCTCATCCTCTCCACCCTAGGCAGTTCATCAAGGAAAAAGCAGGGTTCCATGCCACATCCACAAAAGAACACACTGGGGCCTAGAAGAGATGTGGGTTGTCAACCCAACTCCTGCAGATCCTTCTGGCCAGGCCTGACACTTGCAGGGGTTGGCCCCATATTCTCGGTGCAGGGTGCCTCTCCAGCCATGGCAGGCAGGTGTAAATGATGGTTGCCATGAGGACAATATACAACAGCCCATCCATGAAACTTTGTCCAGCCCCTCCTTTAAATTTTTTTTATAAATCGTTCATGTATTTTTCACTGTACAGAGATCCCGTCCATCTGTTGGTTCATTCCCTAAATACCTACCACAACTAGGGCTTGGCCAGGCCAAAGTCAGGAACCAGGAACTCAATCCAGGTCTCCCATATATGGGTGGCAGAGAATCAACTACTTAAGCCATTACCTGTTGCCTGCCAGGATGTGCATTAGCAGGAAGCTGGATCAGATGTGGAGGAGCCAATGGTATTCAGGCATCCAAGTGATGGCTTAAGTGCCAAATGCCCTTCTTCTTAAACTTAAAAAGGCATTTAGCTGCTTGCATGTTTTTGCATGTTTTTCTTACTCTCCAGGTGGTATAAGCAAAGAGGATTTGGAGAAGCTAGAATGAAATCAGGGGCACATTTCCTTATAGGAGGCTCAGAAATAGCAAACATTCTCTCTCTGGTCCTCCCCACGGCCCAGGAAAGAAGGCTTTAGCATTCCCATCTGCTGAATGACTGGAAATCCACGAAGCAGCTTGTCCCTTCTGCAGTGCCTGCTCACAGCCCTGTGTCTGTCTCCATCTCTACCAGGCCTTGACCCAGCTCACTCACCCCTGCAGACCTGAGCCTCCCTAGCTGTCATTGGGAGGCTTGAGTATAATGAGTGCTAAGGTCTTCCTTGTCCCCATTGGTTTTCATGGCTGTGATTCCAGGAGCTGGCATTGTGCAGTGGGCTAAGCCACCACTTGGGATGCCCACATCACTTTCAGAATGCGGATTCTAGGCCCAGCTTCTCTGCTTCTGATTCAGCTTCCTGTTAATGTGCCTGGGAAGGCAGCAGATGATGGCTTAAATGCTTATGTCCCAGCCACCAACATGGGAGACTTGAATAAAGTTCTGGCTCCTGACTTTAGTCTGGCTATTACAAGCATTTGGAGAATGAATCAGCAAATAGAAGAGCTCTCTCTCTCTCTTCCTCTTTCTCTCTCTCCTCTCTATCACTCTGCCTTTCAAATTAAAAAATCTAAAAAAAAGCAAAGACTATAATTGCAGCATCACCTCATGGTAGGAAACTTGACACTGGTGTTTTCCTTTCTCCAGTCTCTGGTAGATGGGTGGTTATAGACTTTCCAACCTTCTGTTCTAGATGTTGTAGTAGCACAATCCCAGCATTCCCTGCTGGCTTTGAGATGTCACACATGATCCCATTTCTTCCTCCCTCCAACACAGGGCTACCACCCAATGCCCCATGAAGTGGAGATTGCGCATACCAAGAAGCTGTTCCGGAGGCGGAGGAACGATCGGAGGTAGGAGAAATGCAGCATGAGTGTGGGGTTTCTGCTGTAACGTCGGAGGCTGCAGCTCCATCACTTCTGACTGCCTTCTGCTTTTCTTAGTCGCCAGCTGATATCCATGGGATGAGGTTGGTGGCCTTGGTCAGTGGGTGAGGATTTCTTCTTGGACATTGGGCAATGACTCTGCCTCCCTTGTCAACTCAGGGACTGGATCCTTCCAGGAGTCCAGCTGCAGACTGACCATCTCCACCCCTTCTTTGTGGGGTTGTCAATGCATAGCCTTTGCAGGTGTGGAAGGAGAAATGCTCTTTCCTCAGCACAGCAATAGCCACTCCCATGAGTAAGACTGCCAGACTGCATGTTCTGAAATGTGGCTTCCTGACGCTCACAAGTCCTTGGGGGTCTTCCTGTCCTCCTTCTTGGTCACTGGGAATTGGCCCTGGCTTGCACCAACTGTGCTGTGACAGGCGACATACATATAAGCAGTGGCATGTGCTGCTGTCCACAGGGAACCCCCTTAAACCTGGGTAGAACCCAGGCTGTCCCTGGGGTCAGTGTCCAGAGTGGCTGCAAGGGACCAGGACAGGTGCAAAGAGGTGACCTTGGGTAGGAGCAAACATCTGAACCTGGCCATCCTGGGAGTGTGTGCATTTCTTTTCTGAAAGATTTTATCTGGAAATATCTTCATGCTATATCTTCAGTGAAAAATTCCAGGTGTGGAGCAGTGTTGGTCACATGCAGCGATTTGTGCCAAAGAGGTGGGGGTGGGGGTAGGGATAGCATCTATTTTTGCTTGAACATTGCATACATTATTTCTGGATGGAAATGCTAAAAAAGAATGGACTAACCAAAAGAAAAAAAAAAGAAAGAAGGCTTTTGTCTGAGAAATTAAAATGAGGTATTCCCCTATAGGGAATTTATTCTTAGATTAAGGCGCTGGTGTGTGGTTTTACCTTTAGTGAACATAGCAGGTTGTCAGAATCTAGAGTCAGCCATTGAGTTGGCCCAGAAACAGGCATGCCTGCTCTTCAGGCTGTACAGCCCTCTGCTTGAGACCAAAAGCTGGGGCTCCTTGACAGGTGTCTCTGGGTCCTCATGCTACCTGCTGACTCTGGACAAATTTTAGATGGTGGCCACAACTTGCAGGTCGTTGGGGGACAGGGAACCCTGGGTGCCTTATCATCTACTGATGGCTTCAATGGGTCTGAGAATACACACAGCGAGCGATACATGTCCAGCCGGCTGGGGAAAGGCACCCCTGGCTTAGAAAGCAGAATTCCCAGGTCCTGGAAAGGAAAGAGGAGCTGGGAGAGTGAGACTAGAGTCCTGTTTCTGCCTAGGACCAAAAAAGGGTCATTATACTGTGCGTGTAGCATGACAAACTAGAAGAATGGGAGTCCTGGAGACGGTGGGGAAGGAGAACACAGACTCTGTCCCTCCTCCCCTGCCCCTGTTATCCCTAACGGCAGCAAAGACTCCAAATGAAAAGTCACCCACTGACCGCCTCTCCAAGCTCCAGGACCAGCATCCAGGTCAGCGCACATATCTGCCCTGGGCCAGGTGGCCCTGCTCTGCAGGAGTCCCCTGGACAGTGGCCGGCCTCCGGAAAGCAGCAGCGTGACCCAGGAATATAGGAAGAGGAGCCCGCCCTCCCGCCCGCCTGCCCTGGGAGGCCTGGGAAGGCGACCTTCCGTTGAGCCCGCTCGCGGGAACTGGTGCCTGCATTTGCTCAGCACACTTTGGAGGATGTGCACCGGGCTGATGTCCAAACCAGGTCATAAAGATGATTAAGGGACGGAAATATGTCCTGTGAGGAGGGCTCCGGTGCTGGGGCCAGGGAGAGGAGCCCTACAGGAAGAGAACAGCCACACGGTGAGGTGCGTGAAAAGATTGATGGGCGGGCCTGCGGGGCAGCTGCCTCCGCCTTCCCAGGGCCCCCGAACCACAGGAAGGCAGCCCCAGCATGAAGGCAGTTTTCAGCTGCATCAAAGGCATTACTCAAGGTTGCAGGTCCTGGCTGTTGGGCTCAGAAAGATACTGGGAAAGCTGGGTGTGCCGACCGGGTGCTGTACCCTGCAGTCCCATTGCGTACTGCGGTGTGATCTGCCAGTCACTCATAGCTTAGAGCTGTTGCACATTTAAGAACCCCTAAAACAGGGAACTCTTCAGCCATTCTTAGGAAACCTGCAAGACTCGGATATGCAAAAGGAAGCTGCCAGGTACCACCAGCTCAGTCTCTGCCTCAGCTGGCCACAGAGGGGAATACCTTGCTGTTCAGTATCACATCCTTATCTTTGACCTTGATCATGAACTCTCTTGTATGGCAAGCTAACCCTCCTAAGATTTTGAGCACACCAAGGGGCTCAGGTCTCCTGGGCACAGCAGCTGGCAGAGGGGGAAAGGTGACCAGTCTCAGGTTTGATGGCCTGGGGACACAGCCAGCACCTGTGCCGTGCCTCTGCCCTCACCTTGTGGCATGTGGAGGAAACAGCCTGCTGAGTCTGGAACCCCTGGTGTCTCTGTGGCTGCCCTTGGAATGCCTGCAGGTGCCCATGGATTTGTTTTCCTGCAGAGTAACAGGAGGTGGTGGCCATTTGCTGCATGTTCCTGGTAGCATGGACACATGGCTGAATCTGGAGCATGTGACTCCCTACCCACCCACCCCCAACAGACTGGCACAAACATTGTCAAACAGACCTCCAAGTCTTGGACTTCACATAGACTCACATCCTATCTCAGCCCCAGCTGGCTCCTCTGGGGAGTTTTTACATCCTTACTGCTTTTGTTCTCTGTTGAAGTCTGGGGCCAAGAGGGAGCTGAACCACGTAGCAGTTAAGGCTCATGTCCTGGAATTAGAAGCTGCCTGTGTCTCCTCAACTCCCTTACTCTGGGATCTTGCCAAATTGCTCTGTTTCTTGAAAGCTCTACTTCCTCTTCTGTAAAACGGGTCCACTCACTGGAATACGTAAGTGGGTAGACTCCATAAAGCATCTCTACAAGGGATGGTTCCAAGCCAGCCCACTCTGCAGGCCAGGGGCTGGTTCCAAGTGCCCCAGAAGGGTATTATGAATATGGAGAGGAATTGTCCATGGGCAAGGGTTGGACCTGTGACCCACCATCCCAAGAGCCTGGCTGTGTGCTCAGTGCAGGGATAAGGCATTAGATCCTTCTCCCGGATCAACTTTTTGAAGACATTGTCCCTTGCTGGCAGCCATCAGAGGGTGCTGCCCATGTGTTCCATGAGTGGCCTCGGGGGACTCTAAGATGAGAAGTGAGTTCAGCACATGGACAATTCAAGGATGTTCTCCTTAAGGATGTCCTCCAGACTGGCACAACTGATCACCATCTGTTGATTTTTGGGAACTAATAGATGCCGCTTGTCAACTTGAGGAGAAATTACATACATGCATGATGTAAATCCCACATGAATTTTTCTTGAGCCCCACCCCCACCCACTCCCACCTGGAAAAGCACAGAGACTTACTGCTTGGGAAGGGGGTGTGAGCTTGGTCACTCTGCCCCACAAAGCCCTCTGTCACTTAACGCCCCTCCCTGCTGCGTGCAGGCTGAGGGAACAGAAGCCTGGCGAGCTGAGGCCACGGCTCACAACCTCTGTTTACCTTTCACGGCTCAGCTCTCCTGACTCCAACCTGGCCCCTATAAGAGATGAGCCAACAGAGAGGCCAGAGTGAACACCATCATCTCTCTGCCCCCTTGGAAAAGAGATTTTGAGGTACAGATTCAAGACAGGATACTCTTTGAAGATGTGTCCTTGAGATGAATCCCTGTTGCAGGGGTGGAGAGGAAGGGCTGTCGGGGGGAAAGTATGTGACAGTGAGCGCCACGGTGCCACTGTGTTTTCCCCTGAAGCTGGGGTTGGCTGGTAGTGCTATGGACTATGAATGCCAGTTTGCAAGAGGCGGTCCCTGCATTCCAGGTCTGAAGCTTGCCCAGCATCCCTCCCACTCTAGAACCAACCAGAACATGACACCTGTCTAGCACCTTCATGTTCATACCACAAGGTTCAAAGCAAAGATCCATAGGCAGGGGGACTCAGGAATGCTTTCTGGAGAAAGTAGAGGTGGAACTGTTCCTGAGACACAGGAGAATGTTGGGGGTAGTCGGGGAAAGGAGAGCATCAGAATGACAGGAGCACAAATGCAGCAGGTGCAGGAGGTCCCTCTCCCCCGCCCCAGATCCCTGGAGAACAGGGCCAGGTGGAGCTCACAGAGGCCATAGCCCTCAACTGAACTAAACAGAAGGGAAAGCTGGAGCCTACTGGCTGCTGCCAATGCCCAGCCCAGGCTGTTAGAAATCTCAAAAGGCTGTGCAGGCTCCAAATCCCAGCCTCTTAACAGTCTATGTCAGGAGGCTAATGGAAACATTAGCAACCCATCACATGGTACCCATGCAGCCAGGGAGCCAGGAGAGCAACCCCCCAAATTAATTTGTTTCATTAAGTGGGGGTCTCAGGACAGTTAATTCACTCCTGTGCAAAGCTGATTGAAAGAAAGAAGGAAAGAATCCCTTGGCCACTCCAGCTGATGTGGGATGGCTCTGCTGGATGGGAAGTGGGAGAGCGAGCTGCCCCCTGGGCTGGAGTTGGACCAAATGCTGGATGCTGCACTGCTGAGCAGACACAGCCTCCTGCAGCTCTTGCTGCCTCTGTTCTATACCGTGGACAATGGCTTGATGTCCTGATTACAGAACCAATTAAGAACTTTGTTCCTCTCTCTCTTCCTCTGCCAACACATACCCAAATCAGATTTGGTTTTGCAAGCTCTCTGTCACATCATGTAAGTCACTAATCAAGAACAAGCAGGACATCTGGAATTAGTGATGATGAATATGCAATATCATGAATAGGCTAAAAATTACTCAGAAACACCCACACACTCCAAAGGGGTGAATTTGTGGTGTGTGGATCGTACCTTTTAAAAGTCTCCCCTCCCCCAGTAAATAGGGCAGCTCCCAGGGTAGAGTGACATGGCAAGGCCATCTGAAATCCTGCA